TCCTTGTCGTACAGGATGTTGAGTCAGGTCGGCGTAGAACGGGTGGAGTGTCGTCGAGGCGCGGGAAGTCGTCGATGATCTGACTCAGCTTCTCCTGGCACGTCTGCTGCGTGAACTTGACCTTGCGCATGTAGAACGCGCGGATGCGCGAGATCGCATACGTCGGGTGGATGACCGTCGGCGTCTTGCGCTGCGTGCGCGTGAGGATGATGTCGACAAAGTCGCTGGCCGGCGGAACGGTCTGGATCTTCTTGAAGTTGTAGACGACCATGCTGCCTCGACTCAAATGCGGAAATCTACGCTCTCCAAGCCGCGCCCGCCTATATTTATGACTGGACAACACCTAGCGGCCAACGGTTGGTCCGAGCGCCCGAGATGGGTTTGCGACGAGGCCATTGGCTGGCCTGTCGAGCGTCCGCGCGATGCCATTGGTCGAGACATGATACGCAGGCGTCGATTGGTGGAAAAGCAATATAGAGTTTTGACCAATGGCCGGCGAGACGCGCCCGGATTGGCCACAATCACGATGACGCGCAATCCGATCCATACGCGCCATCGAGGCCGCGCGCCGGAAGCTCTACGCAGCGCGTTGGACGGTTGCTGTAGCAAGCGCCGACGGAGACGACTGCGTCGCCCGTAACGATGCTGACAAATGGTCTGCGCCAATGTTAGAAATGGTGTGCAACGTGGCGTTGCGAGCTGCGTTGCGAGCGTCATGCAGCAAGCGATGACGGTAGAGATCGATGACATGGACGCAGCTCAAGCGCGTTGATGGCGTAGCGTGTCGTGATGGTGCTGGACGTGGCAATGAGCGTGTAGGTGAGCATGGTTGCGAGCAAATAGCAGAAGAGATGTGGGTTGAACCACAAGCAGGACTGCATGGAAGAGAGCCAAGCAAACCTTTATTTGAGGCGGCGGTATCACTTGAAGATTGTAACGCATCGAGTTGCTACTTTGCTTCTACTACTGCAGCATTGCCCTCTACTAATGAGCTTTCTGTCCTTGCTGCAGAGTAACCTCGCATCGTCGTCGGCTGTTGACATCGCCCATTCCATTGCGTAGGAAGTGTTGTTTAGGGGTGTGTTGGCGTCGACGTCGAGCTCCTTCGGTGCGCGAGGACCTGTAATAGTTGCACTCCCGGTCTGGACTCGTGTACCGGTGCATGAAGTCTTCGTTGTCACTGTGGCATTGACATGGTTTTGTCGAGTCGCGTCGAGGTTACGACGCCTGCAATTGTGTTGCAAGTGACCAAGTTACCCGACTTTTCTCTCCTGGGTTTGCGCGCCCTGAGTTCGAGCGACATACTATAACAACATGAGCGAAGAGAGACGTTGTCTCTCTAGGGCCCGTCGGCGTTGCTGCATGTGGCCTCGAGCTATGTCCCAGCTCTTAAATGTTTCGCTTCGTCGAGCAAGCATTAAGAAGAGACGCAAGACGCTTGATAAAGTTTGTTCGATTAGGCTATCGAAACGACCAGAATGGTATTGCGCGTAGACAGCGTGCACGGCGCTGGCGCGTGCGATTCTCGGTGACCGACACGACGCCGTCGAGCTACTGCTGGATGCAGACGCTCATGTTTGCATTGCTCTACCGGTGCGTCCAGCGTTGGCAGCCATCATTGACCTCCTTTCGTTTCAGATCGATGTCGAATGGTCGCTCGATGCTTGCTGCTGCGGCGTTGCGTCGACACCAGGGCGTCACGGGTTGTATCAACGGCGTTGTCTGTGCTTTGAACGGGGCAGTATGTACACCTACGCCAAAAACACAATTGTCCACCTCGAAGTCAAGAGCTGCGACATAAGTCTCAGCTCCACGCACGGCGTCCAGCTCGGCGACTTTGGCGTGGTCTCATGACGGGCAATGCCGGCTCGATGCGCTGGATAGCCCCGAGGCCATGCGCCGCAGAGGCGAGGAGGACTGCGGCAAGCCCGCCGACACTTTTTCGTTTGGTGTCGTCTTGGCCGAGCTCAGCACGCGCTGGTCTCTCGCGGCGATCGTGCTGCAAGTCGAGACGAACGAGCGTCGCCCGCGGACTGCGCGCCGTGGCTGCGAGACCTCGCCGATCGATGCTTGGCGATGGAGCCAAGCGAGCGCCCGTCGGCAAACGAGATTGTTGCCATCTTGGCCGAGTATCGCGACGACGGCGACAGCAGGAGCCGCGACGACAATGACTCGGCACCCGAGCCGGCACCGGAAGGCACGCCTCAGTCAACCGATGGCTGCTATCATAAGTGTGGTGCAGCGTAACGTTTCTGCGTCACGTCCGACGTTCGAGAGTTGAGTTGTTGTCTCGGTGTGACGTGTGACGTGGCGGACGGATTTGGCGGGACGACGATGACGGAGGGGCAAAGCGATTGTAGGATTGAAGTAGACGTTTTGTGTGTTGGGGCAAGACGTCGGAAGATCGCAGTGTCGAGGTCGGTGGAGGAAGAGACCTTCTTGCAGTTCTTGTACACGAACGTGCATCGAGCGAGTGTCATTGTCTCTTGGAATCGAGCGGACGTGGCTATGTGCGGGATCAAGGCCAGCAGCACGACAGCGACCGCGTACCCGGCAAAGTGCACGGTGAGGCCCGGAAAGAGATCCAAGAACGCAAGGGCAAAGAATACCCACGCATGCGACAGCAGCCGGACGATCTCACTGATTTCGAAAACGTGCCCGACCGGGTTGATGCTGCAGACGTACGCCGGGTCGTCGGCCACCGATGCCGTGTTGCGCCAGACGCACTTGCACTGACTCGCACCGAGGTGCCAAGCCACGAGCCCCAGAAATCCAGTGACCGACATGGTCGAGCGCTCGTGCATCCAAACACGCGTGCTCAGGTTGGCGCGGTAGGTGCTAAAGCGGAGCTGTGCGACGTTTTCGTTGGTGTTTGCCAAAGCGGCAACCCAGCGCAGAGTGCGCCACGTAAACATGGCAATCCAAAACAGAAAGTAAACGTACCCGAGCAGCGAGATGAGCGCGATAAAGTTGAGCATGATCGCTTCGCTGCCATTGGACGACGTGACAACCAAAGACGCTTCCGTGCCCCGGGGACACCATATCGATGAAATTCGAGGGCAGATAGTCGCCATTCGGAACACGCCCGCCGACGATGCACGCCAAGATCGCCATTGGCGACGCGGCCTGTGACGCGACGCGCGTTGACGGGCGTCTGCGCGACGGTCGCAATCACCTCGGGAATCCACGCCGCCCACGTCGTCCGGTTGCCCAGTGTTGCTAGCTTGATGGACGCCAACGGCTGCACCTCGTGGTGCTTGTAGTGGTACGATTGCAAGTTGCCGATCGTTGCTCCGGCCACGACGTCGGCGTTGTCGACATACCGCGAACCCGAGTTCAAAGAAATGTACTTGCCGACAAAGAACGCCGGCAAAGCGACGCTCATGCGCTCGAAACACTGCGTTCGGTTCGGAGCGTTCGTCGCTGGGTCCACGTACTGGATGGAACACCACCACGCCGTCTCGCGCGGCGCAAAGATCGAGTTGATGTAGCCACTGCCACCGAGCACCGTCGCAAAGAGATCGCGTCCGCTGATCTCGTAGGTGGCGGCGCCCGAGCTCTGTCCTTTTTTTTTCGATAAAGCCATCGAGAAAGGTCGTTGGCGCCAACAACTGCTTGGTCCCCGCAATGTTGGCCAAGCTCAAGTTGTACGTCGAAGCCAGCTCTTTGGCGAGTGCGACGACACCGGCCGCCGGCGTCATTGCTGATGCGATCAACGTCGCCCGCCGCGCCAAGCACGACGGGAGATGCGGAAACAACTGCGCGCGCCACATGGCCAAGGCGGCGGCGTCGCTCGAAGATGTGAGCGGGTGGAGCGACGACTTGAATTGGACGTTCACAAACGTCTCGAGGGACATGCCTTTGAGGCACAGCACGGCCTCGGCCACGTCCTGGAGACTCCCAAACGAAGTGGTTGGCGGGACGTAGCTGCGGATGAGCTCGGTGCCCCAGAGATTAAAGCCGCTGGCCGTGAACGCGGACAGTGCAGCGTTGAAAGCGGCGACTTCGGCGGCGCCGTCGAGCGACCGACGCAGCGGTCGTCCGTCCAAGTCCATCTGGTACACTGTCTCGGTGCCAGCGTACGAGCCGGCCCAGGTTCCGATCGAGCGCGGAAGGATCTTGAAGTCCATAAAGACGTTGAGGTAGCGCGTCGCAGTGAGGGGCGTTGCGAGCGGAATGCCGGCGTTGGTGTTGAGCTGCGTGAGAAACTTGCCGTTGAGCACCGTGTCCCAGTGGAGGTTCACGATCGTCGTTGTCGTTGTGGGCACAAAGCCGTAGCGGGAGAGGAACCACGCTTTGAGCGGCGCGGCGGCGTTCCAGAGGCAGCATACATAAAAGATAATGCGCTGCATGCGTGCACTGCGTTGATAGCGGAATCGAACTGGCGCCGCGTTGGGTCCGTTTAATGGTGCGACCGTCGTCCATGCGAGGCGCATGTTTGTGGTTGAGTGGGCTAACGCTGGCTGGCGTGCACGGCAGACACGGTTATATTTGAACGAAACTCCAGGTTCATAGCTCAGGTTTATATACAGGAGGGTGTCTTTTCGGTTGGACTTTGGAAGCAATGACGATTATCAGAGAGATGTACGTAGTAGGCCGTATCCCTGCAGACGTGCCTGTGTTGCAGTCCACGTCCAGAACTAGAGTTACATTGTGAGCGATTGCAGTGTCGACGACAAAAGACCGTCGTCAGGTCAAGCCAGAGACCGTATTGCAGATTCTTACTTATGGCTGTTTCACGCCCGAGCAGCGGCGACGGCGATGCGATCGAATCGTCGACAGCGCTCGTCGATCGGGTCTCGGCGACGATATTGATTGCAACCGAGCGACATGGGACATGACTATGTATTTTGGCCAATCCAATGCGAGATGCTGAAATGGCGGCATGTGATTGGAAGGGGTAAGTCACTTATCATTTTCGTTTTGGACGTCAACGGCCGAGAGGACCATGAGCGACAAGGAGGTACATGAGACGAAGAGACGAAGAAGACGAAGGAAGCGATCGACTGCGTCTGTGATTCCATAGAAAGAGCTCCGTGAAGCTGCAGCTGACGGTCGACTGGCCGACGTGAAGCGGCTCGTGGAAGAAGAAGGCGTGAATCCCAACTGCGACAATGGCGTACGTTGTCTTGTCGATCGATCTATTGGATATTGATATTGGTATGCTATTGGTCGTAGAGAGCATTGTGCCGAGCTGCTCGCAATGGTCAAACGAACGTCGTCGACTACTTGCTGAAGAAGAACGTGTCGACGGAATGTCGTTGGGTACGTCGATCGCTATATTTCGCTTTCCGATTGAATTGCAACTGAAACTCAACGATCGGTAGGGTGGAGCTACACCTCTGATTCACGCTGCTTTCTACAATTATCTCGAAGTTGTGCGCCTCCTCTTGGCCGCCAACGCGAATATCAACGCCAGAACCAACGTACGTTGTCTCTGCGATATCGTTTTTTCTAAGACAAAAGGACGCAGAGCAACAAGACAGCGCTCGATTACGCGGTTGAAAAGAAACACGATGCCATTGCGCAGCTCTTGCGCGACCATCCTCAACGCAAGATCAACAAGGACAAGGTACATTGACACATTCGACCTTATCGACGTTTCCACGCGTAGCTTCTTGCGGCCTTGCACGAAAGACGCATCCAAGACGCCATCCACCTCATCAGCGAAACCAATATCGACGTGAATCTGCGAGATGGCGTACGTCGACTGCATCGCGAGCTACCTACTAATGACCCTACTCTTGTAGAACTTCGTCCCACTGCTGCATTTGGTGACCGAGACGGGTAACATGGAGCTTCTGCAAACCCTTCTTTCCAAGCCCAACCTTAGTGTGAACGCTACCGACAAGGTAGATGACTCTGCTATCGACTTGAGTGAGTTTCCAACGTCATCGCGTTGCAGGAAGAGCAAACGGCGCTTGCTCGTGCGATTGGCAAGAACGACGTTGCTGTGGTTTTTGCCCTTTTGCAAGCCAACGCTACTGTCAACCAGCTGAACGAGGTACGGCGGTTGCGCATACAACACCCGATACATTGATACTAGGCGCAACTGCGCGCGCTCATTGCCGCAGATCTCTTTGGCAATGCCCTGTTTTCCGCCGCGTCAACCAACGACGCCAGCAGTGCCGAGCGTTTGCTCCTTGCCGGTGTTCGTCCTGCAATGACCAATGAAGTACGACGTTCGCAGATTCAATTTGTCCAACGATACCTATCCATCAATAGGACGGAGCCACCGCACTGCACGTGGCCGCTGCCAACGGCTTCGACGCCATCGCCGCGCTGCTCCTGGCAGAGGACCCGTCACTTTCTCTGCGCAGCGACCGGGTACTATCTATTTTCATCCCAACCTTTCGACCACATATTATCTAGCGAGGCAATCTACCGCTGCACCTTGCGGCCGCCAACGGGCACTTGACCATCGTCAAGTTGTTGCTCAACAATTCGACTTACAGTGGTCTCAACTGCACCAACAACGTACCTACCTTTCCCGTCCTTTCAAACAACCTCTAAATGTATCAACTTGATATAGTCTGGCGAGGTGCCCCTTCTCGTGGCGGTCAAAGCGGGTCACGCCAACATTGTCGAGCGCTTGCTCCTTGCCAAGGCATCGTCAAGCTGCCTGCCTCATGTACATCTCTGCTTGACAAATATTGTCCCTAATGCACGGTGTGTAGGAGGGTCAAACGCTGCTGCATGTGGCGGCTGCGCAAGGAAACCTCGGCGTTGTCAAGGTGCTCGTGACGGCAGGCTTCAATGTCTTTGCCACCGACATGGTACCATTCATCACCAAATGTCTTCCACGCTTGGGACCATCTCCGCATGTTCCATTGCCGTAGGCCGGTGCCACGCCCCTGGCGCTCGCGCAAGAGCATCGACGCTCGGAGGTCGTTGCCGCCTTGAGAGCCGCCCAAGCAACGGAGTGTCAACAGTTTCTGGATGCCGCTGGTTGTGGCAACCTTGATTCTGTCAATGCGCATTTAAACAAAGGCGTTCCCATCGACGTCCCAAACGCGGTGCGTCCACATGCCCTGCCACTGGACAAATGATGTCATGGAGTACAATAGGAAACGGGCCGCACGGCGCTGCACATGGCGGCGGCTGCGAACCACGGAAAGGTCGTCGCCCGGCTCGTGGCCGCGGGTGCAACCATCGATGTCGCGGCGCGAACGGTAGTACTGATGGCACCCCCTTCCTTGTGGTATGCACACGTACTTGCTAGAACGGCTGGACAGCACTCGTGGTTGCGACAGCCAGACAACACGTCGACATTGTCGGCCAGCTCTTGCGAGCGGGTGCGAGCGTCCACGTCAACGCCAACGCCACGAAGAGCACCGTACGTCGCCAGCCTCCGTCGTGTCATTTTACGAAAAGTGATGCGCGTAGAAGACACTGTACCAACCACTGCATCTCGCCGCCGAGCATGGCTACGGCGAAATCGTCAGCCTCTTGTTGGCCCACAACGCCAATGTGAATGCGGTAGCCACGCCTGATGATGACGTCAATAAAGGGCTGATGGAGACCGATGGTAGGGCTCGATGCGGCCGCTGCATCTTGCCGTTCGACACAACCCCGCCGACGTCGAAAACGATCACGCTGACGTCGTTCGACGGCTGTTGGACGCCGACGCATCTCTCTCGGTGACCAACCTCGTAGGCAATCAATGATGCATCGGACATCCTCATGCGTTTTTGGCTAGGCCGGCAAGACACCTCGGATGCTGGCCAAGGCCTTGAAGCACACCTTGATCTTGAGCATACTCACACGCCACGCGGTACATCGTTGAGCTCTATCAACGATGTACTGACGCGTGCGTTACTAGCTCTTTGTGGCCGTGCGTGACCACGACGTGGACGGCTTCGTACAGCTTTTGGATGGCGACGTCGACGACATGCGCAACAACGTACGACGAGACAGCGAGCGATGGCGTGGTCTCATGGACGTAGGTCGGCACACCGCTCCTGCACGTCCTCGTCGAACAGAACTGCACCGAGATGCTGCAAGCACTCTTGGCCAAGTCTGTCCGTGGCATCGACATCGAATACGAGGTATTCGGTTCCATCGAAACCTCTTGTTAACAACTACTTTCAATAGGGACACACGCCTCTGGATCGCGCGATCGGAAAGAAGAACGCGGCCATGGCGCTGGCGCTGGTCCTTGCCAACGCGACGTGCAAACATCTCTCCGCGGTATACCGATGCAGTCGTTTGACATCGAATTGCACCGCGTTGTAGTCGACGGTGGCGGCGTTTCTTCGGTCGCCAGACGCGTTCGTGTTTAACGCGCAACTGCTCCGCGCTGCGTCCACCGGTGACACTGGCGTTGTCACCAAGCTGCTCGCGATGGGGGTGCGCGCCACAGCGAGAGACGAGGTGAGGAGGTCGCTCACTCGTGCTGCTGCGTACCATACCGCACCGTAGACCTTGCGGACGGCGCTGCATGTGGCGGCCACGCATGGCCACGATGCGATGGTCTCGCTTTTACTCGAGAAGGAGGCGTTGCTTGGTCGGTGCCGAGACGAGGTTGGTGATGCCATGTGCGGGATTATTGGTGTCTAGACATGCCTGCGTAGGAGGGAAATCTACCGCTGCACAATGCAGCGGCCAGCGGCCACGTCACTCTCATCGACCACCTCGTGGCGCCTCTGACCATCAACGAAGCCAATGCTGTAGCTTGGACTCCGCAGCACCCTTTTGGTGGACACTGAGCGCCATGATTGTAGATGGGAAATCTACCGCTGCACAATGCAGCGGCCAGCGGCCATGTTGCTCTCGTCGACCAGCTCGCTGCAGCCTTGACCATCAACGAAGCCAATGATGTAGCTTGAACTCCACAGCAGCCTTTCGGTGGACACTGAGCGCCATGATTCTAGGACGGATGGACACCGCTCGGCCTTGCCGTTCAAAGCGGTCGCACGAACGTCGTTAAGCAGCTGCTCCACCATCGTGTCTCGCTCGAGCACAAAAGTGGTGTACGTCCGGACGGTCGATCATCCCAACTAACATCGGTGCGATCCATTTTGGGATGTAGAAGGATGGAACGCTCCTGCACGTGGCCACGTCGAGCTGCGTGAGCACCGATCTGCTTGAGCACCTTGTCAAGAGCGGCAGCGACGTTAACGCGTGCGACACGGTAGCGTGGTTCAACATCGATTCCGCGACATAAAACCCATGCACGCGCCTAGCGGGGCTGGACGCCGCTGCATATTGTGGCCGACAAAGGCCACTTGCAAGCTGTCGAGTACCTCGTTAGAGCCGGCGCCAACGTCGTGGCCAAGACACAGGTGCCCTTGCATCGATTCCTGCATGTGTGTCATGGTGATACATGTAGGACTGTAAAACGCCATTGCAAATGGCCAAGGATACGAAAGTCGTCAAGGCCTTGCTAAAGGCTGAAGCCGACGCACGGACCCAAGCGCACGTGCTCAAGCAGCACGCGAACGACCAGGTACTGCCTCCGAGAGTTCTGAAGCGATAGGAAGCTAATTGATGTGCAGACAGCGTCGTTGTGTCGCGCCGTCCTCGAGAACGATGTCGCCGCAGTCACGGATCTGCTCGCTGCCGGCGTCAAACCTAGTGGGCTCACAGTGGTCATATCACTCGACCGTGCCATGGCCGTCTCACAGGGCGTCGTCGTAGGAGGGTGTGCCGCTGCCTGTCGTGGCCATGCGTCGTGGCCACTGGGAGACGTGCGACCGGTTGCTAGCCGTCTCGGTTGTCCCCAGCGACGCCGCCCGCGTGCGCATGATGCACTCGCTTGCACTCGAGCTGGAGCAATTCCAGGCGGCGTGGCACATTTTACAAGCCAACTCGGACGTCCTCGCCCGTGACACGGTAGACCACTACTCGGCTTTAGCGTCTTGGTTGTAGTACGATGGTGGGTAGCAGCATGTCTCGGCGGAAGCCAATAATGCCCCGGTGCACGCTCTGCAGGCCATGTGGACGGGCGCTGCGCTGCGGACGGCTGCCCGCGACGGCCAAGTCGACGTCGCCAAGCATCTTCTGTTGCAGTTTCAAGGCATTGTCGATGCCACCAACGAGGTAGATTTTGGATTGGTACTTTGTGGACATGGAAAAGCGGTGCGTAGCGTGGCGAGACGCCGCTGCATGTGGCGGTCGCCTCAGCAAACGTGTCGAGCGATGTGGCTGCGTACACTGCGATGACAACACTGCTCTTGAAGTACAGAGCCAATCCGCTGGCCATCAACACGGTGCGAGCTCTCTCGCTTCTGGACGAAGCAAAACAGTGTTGTTGTTGTAGATGGGTGTGACGCCCTTGCTCTTGGCGGCTCGCAGTGGTAAATCGAACGTCACTGCCGCGCTCGTCGCCGCAGTGCTCGCAAAGCCATCGCCCGACACGGCAGCACTCGCTACTTGCTTCGCCGAGGCCGTCCGGCAGCGAGACGTGCAAGTCGTGGCCATGCTTTTGCCCAAAATGCCAACTGACGTCGTGACATTGACGCTCGCATCGAATTCCATGGTAGCACACACGCTGATTTTCTTTAGCGGTAGACGTACAATGGATTAGGGCCTGGCGATCCTTGCGGCAACCGTGGGGCATCTGGCCACGCTCGTACGCTTGCGAGAAGAACACTGCGATCTCTTGTGGGC